TGCACTCAGGCATCACTCCTGGTGGTGCTGAGAGGACCATATGGGCTGCCGGGGATTGAACCTGGGTCGGTTGTGTGCAAAACACGTGCCCTACCTGCTGTACAATCTCTGGGCTTTTCTTTTCTTTTCTTTTGCTTTTTGGGTCACACCGGACGATGCACAGGGGTTACTCCTGGCACTGCACTCAGGAATTACTCCTGGAGGTGCTTGTGGCATCAATATAGGATATTAGGGATCGAACCCGGGTCGGCTGCATGTAAGGCAAATGCCCTCCTCCCCGCTGTACTATTGCCCCAAGCACCCCCTGGGCTTTTCTAAGGGACGGTCAAGGACCAGTCTTCCAGAGGGACACTTGAGTTGAATGCCTCGGCCACGTAAGGGGAGTCATTCACCGGAGAGGAGAAACAAATGCAGCAAGTCCCAGGGTTGGACTATGGTCTGTTGTGCAGAAAAAGAGGACGGTGGGGTTGGGTGAATGCAACCATGGGCCAGGCAGGAGGAGATGAGATCAGGCGGGCGCAGGGGCCAGGCCATGGGGACCGTGGTCGCTGGGAGGACCTTGCCTTTCACTGATTTGGTGAGGTTCGTGTGGGTGTGACACAATCTGGATCTCCGGATCGAGGCGTTTCTCAGGGATTGCTCTGAGCAATGGGGAGGCAGGGATGGGATCCGTTCAGCCACCTGGGGATGAGGGAGTCACTTGAGAACCATGCCTGCAGGAGACCTGAGTTCAATGCCTGATACTACAGGGTGGGGGGGGGGGGGAGATCCCGAGCACAGAGCCAGGAGTAGCCCCCCAACACCACCAGGTGTAGCCCCCAACCCCCACACCCTGATAATAATAAAAACCCTCCTGATAGATGACAGATTTGCAAATGTAAGAGCCTTTTGTGGAGGGAGGAGGGAGGGGAGCCAGGGGTGATTCTGGAGTAAACTGATCTCAGTTTCCAGGGTGCCGGGATGAGGTGGGTCCCAGGAGGGGTCCAAGGGAGAACTGACTTACTAGACACGTTTTCTGAAATGCACTCGGCGGCCTGGAGGACGGACAGGACCTGGTTGTGGACTCCCTCCTGCTCGAAGCTACAGCACCAGGGACCGGGGACAGGGACGCCTTGGGCAGGGGAGATGCTGAGGTGGAACCCAGTCACCCAGAGTCCAGATTTAACACCCCACCACGTCTGCAGGGCATGGGGGGGCTGTGCTGTGGCCTCTGGGGGCCTCATGCCCCACACAGGGGCTTTGTTGAGGCTGTGACGTCAAAGGCAGGAGCCCTAGAGGGCCACAAGCTGGCGAAGCCCTTGCTTGCTCCTGATGTGGAGTCAGCAGGGAACACCCTGGCTTCCTCCCAAGAAGAGAGGCCTCGTCCTGCTACCCACCCACCCCCCTTCACCATCTGGCAGCCTTGGGGGGAGGGAGAGCCAGGGACACATCTGGAAGGTAGGAAAGTCCCTGGGAGGGAGCAAGGCGGGCCACACCCCCCACACCCCGGGGCCTCTTCCTGCCAAGGAGGCAGCGGGATTGACACCGCAACTTTCCCAAGCTGAGCACGGGCCTCTGTGGGCCGCGAGCGAATAAGGGCCGACAACAACCAGGCCACGCTCAGAGCAAGGCTCACCTCGAGGCATCAAAGCTCTGGGCCACGCTTTTCTCTCAGCCACGTGCTGCCACGACATTGGGGAGAGCACGCGCCCCATGTGGGGCAGGGCAGCTGCATTCGGGAACCCGGAGGTTCTGTTTCAGGGCCTGTGCCGGGAGCCCTTCCCTGTCACTGCCTCCCAGAGGATGATGTGGGGAGGGGGAGGACCTGGAAACAGTGCAGCCCCCCCCTCCCCATCACCCCTCTGTGTAGGGCTCAGGGGAGGCAGGAAACTGAGGACAACCTATCTATCTGGTATCTGCCAAAAGTCTGAATCAACTTCAAAAAAAATGTATCCTCGGGCAATTTCTTTTTTTTTTTAATTTATTATTTTATTTTATTTTATTTTGGGCTGGAGCGATAGCACAGCAGTAGAGCATTTACCTTGCATGCGGCAGACCCTGCCGACCCAGGTTCAATTCCTCCAAGAGACCGGCAAGCTACCGAGTATCTCGCCTGCACGGCAAAGCCTGGCAAGCTACCCGTGATGTATTCAACATGCCAAACACAGTGACAAGTCTCACAATGGAGACGTTACTGGGCCCGCTCGAGCAAATCGATGAACAACGGGAGGACAGTGCTACAGTGCAGTGCTAATATATTTTATTTGCTTTTTTGGGTCATACCAGGCGATGCACAGGAGTTCCTCCTGGCTCTGCACTCAGGAATTACTCCTGGTGGTGCTCGGGGGACCCTATGGGATGCTGGGAATCGAACCCCGGTCAACCGCATGCAAGGCAAACACCCTACCTGCTGTGCCATCGCTCCAGCCCCTCCTTGGGCAATTTCTGAGAACCAGCAGAAGGTTATCCCTCCCACCTCCCACTCTAAGAAGTATGTTACTAACGTAGCAAGAGGGCTTTGGAGGTGAAGAAGGGGGACCCTTGAAATGGGGGTAGGAGGTGAAGTCAAACTTTCAAGGTTTGGGAGCAGAGTTGAGGCTGAAATGCGGAGCTCCTGAACGGGAATACGGGCTCAAGGGTAGAGCACATGCCTTGATACGGAGCTTGATTGCCAGCAAGCAGGTCCCCCAACTCCCCCTAACTGCCTGGTGGCTGCCTCTGAGAACTCCTGGAATAAAACCTCCAGGAATAAAAAGGAGGCCTCTGTCCCTAAAGCTTGCCCCTCACAAACCCCCAAACAGGGCAAGGGCGCAGGCACCCCCCTTCTGAAGGCAGCTGCCCAGTGTTTACCCGGGTTTTCCTGCCCCTTCCATGAGTTCAGTCTCCTGCCGTTAGAGACAGCCCCAGCAGCCCGCCTAGGCAAAGTGACTCCCGGCAGTCCTGCCCCAGAAGGCTCGCTGGGCTTTCTGAGTTCCCTTTCATTTCTGATCTGCACCACACAATCCAGCCCTTATTTCTGCGCATCTCCCCACACACCATGAAAATTTGCTCAGGGCAGGCTCCGCCCTCAAGGGACACGCTTCAGGCACCTTCCAAGGCCACGTCCAGGGACGTGGGCAAGGCTGCTTCCTGTCCTCAAGGAAGGGAGGCTGTCCTAGGGTACAGAAACCAGCCTGCCACAGACAGGGACATAAATAACACCACTGGCAATTACTGGCCGTTTCTGAATGTCCTAACCATTGCCGAGGGGGTGAGCTGGAAGGGAGCCCACAAAGGCATCTGAATCAGGTCTTCAGGGCAACTGATGTCTTCTTAGGAACAAGACTTTGGAGAAGGGTCCACGCAGAGATGATGTGTAGTGGACGGTGACCCCGTGGTCCAGGTGGAGGGGCAAGCAGGAAGGATGCCAAGCAGTTCTCATCCCAGGCTCGGCGATAGTGCAGTTAGGTAAGGGCACTTGCCTTGCAAGTAGTCAAGCCAGGTTTGGTCCCTGGCACCCCATAGAGTACCCGAGTCCTCCGGGGAGTGATCCCTCAGCTCTGAGCCAGGAGTAAGCCTTGAATACCAACCCGGTGCGGCCCACAAAGCCAAACATTAAAACCAATAGTTCCTCCTACCTTACAAGGTTTTAAGCCACCGGCGGCCCAGGGTTTGCACAGCCTGGCGTTATTTTATTGCGGGACGGGTTCAGGATGTGCGAGGTCCCTTGGCAGGAGGCTGGCTCCCGGGCACGCGGCTGCCACCTTCCCTATTAGGAAGGGGCAGTGGGTGCCTAAAAAAGCTTCCGAATTAAGAACCAGCGTCCACAGGGGTTGCGCGCGGGGGTAGGGGTGGGGTGGGGTGTGTGTGCCGTGGACGCCTGATGGACCCTGTAGCAGGCTGGCCGCAGCCTCTGCTCAATCGGGGCTTATGGAGCCGACCAGCCGGGCTGGCCCGGTGGCCTCTGCAGCCCGGGCCCTGCAAAGGCCGCAGGCAGGGGCGGGCCGGGATTTCCCCGAGTCCACGCAGAGAGGAACCGGGGCGGGGGTGGGGCTTGTCTCCGGGCGCCCCGACCGCTCCTCTCCCCGGCCGGCCCCGCCGGGATGTAAATGATGGGGCTTCAGACCGCTCCCTCCGGGCGCCCCTCCGGCCGGCCCCGCCGCGGCCAGCCGCGGCCACCTATCCCCGGGGTCCCCGTGGCCCCCGCCCAGCCCCAACCTCCACGTCGAGCGGCTTCTCGGCCCCTCCCCGCGCCTCCCGCCCCTCCTCCATCCCGCCCGCCGCCGGCCCCGCAGACCCCTGGGCGACACCGCGCGCCACACCCTCCCCCAGTCCGGTCCCCCACAGACCCCGCCGGGACCCAGGCCGCCGTGTCCCGGCCCACCCTGGCCCCCCGCCCCGCCTCCGGAGACCCCCGACCACCCCTCCTAGGTCGCCCCCGGCCACCCCTCGACAGGCCGTCCCAGGCCTCCGGAGACCCCTGGCCACACCCGTCCAGCCGCCCCCGGCCTCCGGAGACCCCTGGCCACGCCCCCTGGCCGCCCCAGGCCTCCGGAGACCCCCGACCACCCCCTAGGCCGCTCCCCCCCCCCCCCCGCTTCAGGAGACCCCCCTGGTCATCCCCTAGGCCGATCCCCGCGTCGGGAGACCCCCGACCACCCCTTTACAGGCTGTCCCCGGCCTCCGGAGACCCCCGATACCACTCCCAGAGGCCACCCCCAGATCCCGGAGATGCCCCGACCATCCCCCCAAAGGCCACCCCCTACTTCCGGAGACCCCCGAGCACCCCCTCCACCCCACCGGCGTTCTCTGGCTTCCGGAGATCCCCAGATCCCAGCCGCGGCAACGGAGGAGGAGGAGGAGGGGCGACCCCCGCGTGCGTGGCAGGTCCGCCCGGCCAGGGCTCGGGCCGCCCTCCCCGGGAGGCGGGGTCGTCGCCCTCCTCCCCCTCGTCCCTCCCTCCTCCCCTCCTCCTCCTCCTCCTCCTCCTCCTCTTCCTCCTCTTCCTCGCCTTCCTCCCGCGCCGCCGGCCCGCTCCCGGCCGCTCCGACGCCGCCAGCGCCCCGCGCGCCCCCCCGCCCGCCGCCTGCCATGCCCGTGGTCAGACAAAGGGGCTCCAAGGGCGGCCACGGCCCCGTGAGCCCCGCGGACAGGGGCGCCCACCCGACGGGCGGCGCGGATGACGTGGCCAAGAAGCCGCCGCCCGCGCCGCAGCCGCCGCCGCCGCCGCCGCCGCAGCCGCAGCAGCAGCACCAGCAGCACCAGCCGCACGGCCGGGCCGGCCACCGCGCCCGGGCCAACCCCGCCGCCGGCGCCCCGGCCTGCTGCCCGCGTCCCCTGGGCCGCGCGCTCGGCCTGCTCTTCTACCTCGCGCTGGCCGCCGCCGCCGCCTTCTCGGGCTGGTGCGTCCACCACGTCCTGGACGAGGTGCAGCAGGTCCGGCGCAGCCACCAGGACCTGGCCCGGCAGCGCGAGGAGCTGGGCCGGGGCTTGCAGGGCGTCGAGCAGAAGGTGGGTCTCTCGCCTCCCCTCCTCCCCCGGGGTCCCCCGGCCACGTCCCCGGACGCACTCACCAGCCAGACGCCCTCCGCCCTTCCCCCAACCTCTGCAACGCATCCCAACGCATCCCAACCGCTCCCAACCGCTCCCGGCTGGACCACTGAGCTCCCCGCCACGGCCCCTCCCAGGCCCCTCTACCTCCCCCGCGGACCCCAGACCCTCTTTGTTAGTGACCGCGGCCCGGAGGTAGGGGGGATGGAGGGGAATGCAGGCTGCACGGGGCCGGCTAGCTGGGGGTGCGGACACCAAAGGTGACCAGTCAACGGCCCGCGCTGCGGGGTGGGGGTGGGGTGGGGGGGGTGGGGAGGAAGCTCATTCTTCTTGGCTTAGGAAGCGCTGAACGGGCACAGCTGTCCGCAGAGGAGCTTGGCACGCCAGGCGGGCATCCCTCGGCCCTGCCAGCCAGTGGCAGACAGCTGAGCCAGATTTGTAACCCAGGCACAGGGAGCAGGAGGGAAGAAGAGGAAGCCAGTTCATGTGTCAAGTTCAGATTCAGAGCGCCCCCCCCACACACACAGTCTGTTACACACCCCCTGTGTCCTGAACGCCCCCACCCCACCCCCTTCTTGGTTCCAGGGGCCTTGAAATAGCCCACTTAGGCTTGAAGGGCTAAGTCCAGAGGGAAATGCTGGAGCCTCCTGTCTCCTGGTGTGTGATAGTAGCATGGGCACCATTTATGTGGTGTCTACTGAGAGGCCTTAGTCAGCTGTTGCCTCATCCCCACAACCCTTCCCCGAGGAGGTAGGGAGGCTTAGCTGCTTTCAAGATTCCCATTTTCCAGACTGGAAGATTGAGGCCAAGCAGGGTCAAACGAATATGATGAAGACTCAGCTGGTGGGTGGCTTTAGTGCCCCATGCCAAGGTCCGAAGAGGGGGGGTCCCTTGCAGATGGACACGGACCCCCCCGTCCCGTTTTCAGCCCAGATCCATGCCCCTCTATCTTGCTTTCCTCCTCTGCCCTCCACTTAAAAAAGTCATCGCTCCAACAACGAAGTTGGATTGGTCGCTGGGTGGAAACAAAAAAAAAAAAATCCCGCCACTGCTTGGGAAGCCTGGAAAGGCTTGCCTCCTTCAGCCCGCCCCTCCCAGGCTGGCTGTCCTACCAAGTTCTCAAACTTCCGTCAGGGGGCTGTGTGTGTGTGTGTGTGTGTGTGACGATGGGATGGGCCAACTTGCCTCTCTCAAGACTGGCAGGGCCAGTTCCTGGGGATGAGTCAGCCCCCCACTGGGCTGCTGCAGGCCCAGGGAGGGAGCTGCCCTGAGGGGGGTTAAGCAGGGCCCCTGGCGTCTTCCGAGTCTTTCTTAGGAAAATAGACTGCTGGAGGGGGGCAGGTCATCGCTAGCCTCTTCCCTCCACCCACTTGCCAAATCAGACGATTTTAATGAAGGCCGATAGGCTTGTGGCTTCACGTGGGGCTCTCCCATGGACGAGCACTGGGGAGCTCAGGGTGCAGACGGTTGCATCAGGAGGTTCCCACCTAGGGAAACTGGGGGTGGGGTGGGGCATGCAGAAGTGGGCTGGGGAGTTCCCCAGGGGCCCAGAACCCCGGGGGTGGGGGAACAGGTGGTTGCAGAGAGGAGGTGCTGAGCATTGAGCTTGAGCTGAGATCGGACTTCACCTCTGTCACCGCGTCCCCTTGACAGATCCAGCTCTCCCCCATCCTTGTGCACAGCAGCGGGAGGGGCCCCTCAGTCTTTTTTTTGGTCCTGTGGCTCGAACCCCTTGTGCTAAGGTTGAGCCCATCGCTTAGTTGTGTTGGCAATACCTGGCATCATCGAGGTTATTTTTTGTTTGTTGGGGGGGGGACCACGTCTGGCGATGCCCAGGGGTAACTCCTGGCTCTGTGCTAAGAAGTTAGTTACTCTAGGTGTTGCTCAGGGCACCACGTGGGATGTCGGGGATCAAACCCTGGTCAGCTTTGTGCAAGGGTAGGCCCGCTGGACTGTTCCTCTAGCCCCCCATCATCCTGATTTTAAAGGACCCTTGTAGCCACGGAGGCAGTGGGCTTTGTGTCAGATCAGCAGTGGGATCAGGCATCCATTCTGTAGCTTGTGACCAGACGAGTACCAGGTGCTCGTCTCTCGGTGCCCCCAGACTCACTGAGTGTCTCACTCATCCAACATTCCCCACCGTGAACAGTGTTGGCATATCCCTTCTGGCAGATGAGCAACAGGAGACAGATGGGACTCAGCTGCCTGCTCCAGTGCCTGGTGAATTCCAAGAGCCCTCTGCAGTTTTGGTACTGTGCCTTGCCGTGCGTGCAGTAGCTGCTCAGTTAACGCAGAGTCCATGGATTGGGGCTGCAGACCCTGCCTCCGTTTGCAGGTGACCTGTGATCTGTCAGACGTGCACTGTGTGTTGGACACAGTTCATGCTCTCACGTGCCTGAATTCACCTGAGGTCGTTTTTTTGCCCCGTCAGCTGTGTTGGGGCTGAGAGACCCAAGGCCCAGAGATGCTGGAAGCCTTAACTGAGAACACGCAGCTGGGATGTGGTTAGGAGGCCCTGTTTTTCAATTTCTTATTTTTTTTTTCCCTTTTTGGGTGGTACCCAGCAGAGAATCAGGGCTTTCTCATGACTCTGTGCTCAGGGATCACTCCTGAAGGGGCCGGGGATTGAACTTGTGCAAGACAAGTGCCCTCCCTGCTGTCCCGTCGCTCTGGCTCCCAGGCCTGGTTTTGAACTTAAATGAATCTGTTTCCTGCCCCCTCAGGGCTGCCCATGGACGTGTCCTGGGCGCGACACAGAGGTGAGATGAGTCTGATCAGTTCAGTCACGTCTTTTACCTCTTGCTAGTCTTGTTTCCTTTTGGGCCATCTCATTCCCACTGCAGTTCATGGTTCTCTCTCTGATGGGGAGACCTCCCCCCCACTCACTCCCCTTGGCCACAGTTTCTCCCCTTCCTTCCTGGTGGCGGCCCTGGGCTTCTGGACGGCTGCAGTACAGCATGGAGGTGCTGACCCCTCAGTTCTGCAAGTCCAGGGCTGCATGGCTTTCCTGCAGGTTGGCTGCTATGGGTCTCCTGCATCTCTGGAGCATCGCTGCCTGAGTGCCTCCTCCAGTTCACCCAGAGAATGTCAGGGTTTGTTTCTAACTGGTAGAATCTCCGGGCTGAGACCCCTCACAGGCAACTGCATGCTCTGTGTGGGACACCCAAGCTCTGTTTCTGGACCCTGTGACCCTCCCAGCACTGTCCGGGCACTGACACTTGCAGAACACAACAGTCCCTTTCCTTTCTTCTCCCCATTTCTTTGCACAGAGCATCCTGCCCAAGAGAGGACCCTGAATCAGGTTTTCCTGACGCATCAGAAATATCTCTCTAGCGTTGGTGTGTTTGAGTCGAGATCCTCCTAAGTCCCCGGACTGCACGCACCTGATAAATCTGCACGGGCCCCGACTGCAGTCAGCCCTGTTGTCATTGTTGAGGGTCCTGGCTGCTTGTCTGGGGTCTCCTCGGTGCATTTGGTGGATTCATCCTGGTGGCACACTAGTCTGTGGACAGGTGTGAGGGGCAGGGATGCCCATCAGACTCTGGCTTTCAGATCTTTCGTTGATTCGAGAAACGAGCTAACCAGGCCATTGGTCACTGTAGAGCCACTGGTCTCTGCCCACACAGCCAGCTCCGTGGAGGGGAGCCTGGGTCAGCTCTGTTTGGGGTGAGATGTATTGGGGATGTACATGTGCCAGGGCATCACGACAGGGCCCTGGTGGAGTGGCACTCCTGTTCCATGGTGCAGACAGTGACTTGCCCGGCACCATGTGGCCACAAGCAGCCGGAAGTGCCACACGGAGGCCTGCACCCCCTTATGGAGGTTCCCGGCCGCCTCTGCTTTGTTTCTGGCAGACAGAGTTATAGCAGCTGGAATCCCAACTCAGAGGCGAGTCCCCCCAGGGGTACCTGAATGCAGGCCCTCCCTCTCTCCCACGGGGCGTCAGCATCTCCTCTTGCCCTCTCCGGTTCTGCCTGTGTGGGCTTGGGGCTTTCCCATTGGCATCTTCCTGGTTTGAACTGGGCTGAAGGGTCCAGGACCCTTGATGTGCCGCCCACAATCACCCTGAAAAACAAAGGTCTCTGGGGTTAGCTCAAGGACCTTTGCGCCCCCTCCCACCCCCACCTGCCCTCGGGGGGAATGGAAAGGGAAAGGCCTGAGCCACAGACCATCCCAGACCTCTTGGAGGCTCCCCCAGGCTGGCCCCACAAAACACAACACAGAAATGTCTCAAATTCACTGCTTGGCTTGAATTTCAAAGTTTTGGCCATTGCATGTTCAGAACCTTTTACTGTGACCACATATTTTGTGCCCCCCCCCCCCCCCCCACACACACACACACACACATATTCGGTTAGGAGACTTGAGACGTCCTTGGAGGGTTCCCAGGGGGACGATGGGCGTCTGGGCAGATAGGAGGACGGAGGGCGACCCGTGTCTCCCCAGTGGAGTGGTGTGTGTCCCCCCCCTCTGCTCTTCCCCTCCTGACCCCCGCCTCTGCTTCCAGGTGCATTCCCTGCAGACCACCTTCGGCGCCTTCGAGTCGGTCCTGCGGAGCGCGCAGCACCGGCAGGAGGCCACCGAGAAGGCGGTGAAGCAAGGGGAGAGCGAGCTGAACCGCATCAGCGAGGTGCTGCAGAAGCTGCAGAACGAGATCCTCAAGGACCTGTCGGACGGCATCCACGTGGTGCGGGACGCGCGCGAGCGGGACTTCACGTCGCTGGAGAACACGGTGGAGGAGCGGCTGACGGAGCTCACCAAGTCCATCAACGACAACATCGCCCTCTTCACCGACGTGCAGGCGCGCAGCCAGCAGGAGATCAGCGAGGTGAAGGCCAAGGTGGCGGGGCTGGGGGCGCTCGAGGGGGCCCCGGGGGAGCTGCAGGCGCTGCGGGAGGCCGTGCGGGAGCTGCAGGCGGCCGCCCAGCCCCGCGCTGGCGAGCTGGAGGCGCTGCGGGGCGCCCTGGGCGCGCTGGAGTCCGACGTGTACACCGAGGTCAAGGAGCTGGTGAGCCTCAAGCAGGAGCAGCAGAAGTCCCGGGAGGCGGCCGAGACGCAGCGCCTGGCCCTGCGCGCCCTGGAGGACCGGGTGGCCCCGCTGCCCGGGCAGCTCGAGAGATTGGAGGAGGAGCTGCGGCAGCGGCCGGCCCCCGCCCCCGCCGGGGACACCCCCCAACCCGGCGCCTGGGAAGCCCTGCAGAGAGAGAGCCGGGACCTGGACGCGCGGCTGCAGAGTGTGGAGAGCGGAGTGGCCGCGGCCGAGGAGGTGTCCGTCCGGCAGGCCCGAGGCCTGGAGACGCTGGCGTCCAGGAGCGAGGAGCAGGAGCGGCGTCTGGCCGCGCTGCAGGAGCACCTGGAGAGCCTGGGCGCCTCCCCGGAGGCGGAGGCGGGGGGCCTGGCCAGCACGGTGCGCAGCCTCGGGGAGGCCCAGCAGGCCCTGGCCGGGGACCTGGAGGAGCTGAAGCGCAGCGTGGGCGAGCTGCCCGGCACGGCGGGCGCGCTGCAGCAGGTGCAGGAGCAGGTGCGCACCCTGCTCGCCCGGGACCCCGCGCCGCCCCCCGACCTGCTGGGCCGCCTGGCCTCGCTGGACAGTCTCAAGGCCTCCGTGGGCCAGGTGGAGGCGGACTTGAAGATGCTCAGGACTGCCGTGGACAGCCTGGTGGCTTACTCGGTGAAGATCGAGACCAACGAGAACAACCTGGAGTCGGCCAAGGGCTTGCTGGAGGACCTTCGCAGCGACCTGGACAGGCTCTTCCTGAAGGTCGAGAAGATCCACGAGAAAGTGTGACGGGGACCCGGGCGTGGGGCGCGGGGGTTCAGCTCCAGTTGCCACGACCAAAGGAGAGAGAGAGAAACGAAGAGTGGTTCTCTCCCGATGTTCCCCCCGACCCGGCCCTCCTGGCAGCCGTATGGTCTCTCCAGTCGCTGCCCTGTCCACTCTTCCATTGTTCTGACCCCACCCCTCCAGTTTCTCAAGTTTGCTGCTTCTGCTTTTGGTGGGTTTCCTGAAGGCTCGGCCCCCAGTGAGTCATTCGGGTGCTCCTCAAAGGGGCGTCTCCGTGGCCGGGGAAGTGGGTGAAGGGAGGGGGTCAGCAGCTGGTGGCCACCTCTGTCCCAGTGGCCAGCCCACCTCAGGAAACCCAGCAGAGCCCAAGGGGGTGTGTTTGTGTGGGGGGAAATTAGGAACAGTTGTTTTACTTTTGTACCTTTCATTTTTAAAATTCTCCCGGCCCTCGCCGTGCCACGGATGTTGCTGTCTTCCACATTTACACTGGTTTAAGCTCCTGAGCGTCGGTATGGCCCGGGGAGCCACCCTCACCACCAGGTGCTCAGTTTTTTAATCCCCCATCAGCCCCTCCCCCAGGTGGGGCTGCAGAAATCCTGAGAGTCCCCAGGTGGGAGGGGACCACCTCACTAGGTGGCCGAGGCCTGTGTCACCTCAAAGGACACCCAGGAGTCGGGTTCCCCTTGAGCTCCTACAGGAAGCCCATGTCCAGAAATTCTCAGCAGTGGGGGCTGCTCCCGGGGTCATTCCCCTCTCACCTCCCTGGAGATCCCAGGTCCGGGACAGGGCTTTCCCAGAGAGCAGACCCTACCTTTCAGGAACATGGCCTTTTCCAATAGTTGTTTGCTGGTTTTTTTTCTGCCCTCTGAAGTGTCCTGGGATTGTTTTTCTTTTCTTTTTTCTTTTTTTCAAATGTCTGTCTTGACCTTTGAAAAAAGAAGATAAAAAGGAACAAAAAAAAAAAAAAAACGCAAAATGAAAAGGAAAAAAAAGTTTTAGTTTACTGTGAAATGAAGGGGATGGCTTATTTACAGTATTTTTAACTCTTAATAAACACTTGAGCTTTGTTACGACGTCTCCAGAGTGATTGCTTTTCAAGACCTCGGGACTTCAGTCATTCCCTGGTTTTATTAACTGGGATTCTTCGGGATTAGACACGTCAGGTGTGTATTTCCTTGTCACTCTCCCCTGAGAACAAGATGGCCTCACTCTGGCTTCTGGGGTGCCCCTGCTGACTCGGACCAGTTTGTTTCTTGCTGCTGGACCTGGCATGGTAGAGGGTGCCAGTCTTGACTCTTTTTATTTATTTATTTATTTATTTTTTCTTTTTGGGTCACACCCAGCGATGCACAGGGTTTACTCCTGGCTCATGCACTCAGGAATTACTCCTGGCGGTGCTCAGGGGATCATATGGGATGCTGTGAATCGAACCTGGGTCAGCCATGTGCAAGGCAAACGCCCTACCTGCTGTGCTATTGCTCCAGTCCCCCAGTCTTTACTCTTAAGTCTGCTCAGATCTTCCAAAAGGGCCGTGCGGCTCCGATCCATGGGTTCAAGATGACTGGGACCAGCACTTCAGCGGCTGCTGCTGTGAGCCTTCAGGGGTGTCGAGCTTGGCCGCCTCCTGCCTGGTGCCGGCCTGGACAGGACACCTTCTTCCCCAGGGGCGCCCTCTGCCCCTCTGCCAATTCCGATGGTGCTGACTGCCGAGCTTAAGGTCGTTCTGCACTGCGCACGGCCAGCGGGCTGGGGAGCATTCTGCAAGGAGGAAGTGGCGGGGCTGAGATTTCAGCTAGTCTCACCCGGCTGTGTCTGGCGCACCGAGGCTGGCTGGTCACCGTCCTGTTGTGGCGGCTTGTGGTGTTTCTTTCTGGCCCGAGGGCCCTTCCTCTGTGAACTTCCTTCCTCAGTCCCTCTGGATCTCTGAGCAGCACCCTAGGGCTTCAAACTCAGTAGGTCCCCCTCTCTCCCATGTGCCAGTCAGGAGGAGCACTTTATAGGAGCAGAGAGCACTGGTATTTTTAAAGTGCAAGTGGCTCTTCTTTAATAGCTGGTTTTGCCTTCTCTGAGGGAGGGGGCTGAGCAGCACAAATTTCCCAGGCATGGTGTGTGTGTGTGTGTGTGTGTGTGTTGGGGGGGGTGAGGGTGAGTGAGGTTGGGAGACCAGATCAATTCTGGATGCTGCTCAGCTCAGGGGCTTGTTTTGGGGGATTCTGGCCTTTCCTCCTGAGCCCTTTCCTGCATTTTTTTCTGCTCAGCCTGTGAGATGTGTCAGTCGTTTCCCATTTGGTATGAGAGGAGAAAACATCAGTGAGGGGAGAAAGAACCAAAAAAAAAATCATCAAATAACCGGATTTGCTAATGTGAGGCAGGCCGCACGAGAGGCTAAAATATTGGTGCAGGATGCAGGATGGAGCTGGCACATGTGTGTGTGTGTGTGTGTGTGTGTGTGTGTGTGTGCATGTATGTATCTATGAGTTCGCATGTGTATGTGAGTGTATATGTATGAGTGCATGTATGTATATATGTGTGCATGTATGTGTCAGTGCACATATGCATGTATGTGTGCATATATTGTGAGTGCATATATGTACATGTATTTGTGTGCATGTATGTATGAGTGTATGTGCGTGGGTGCGTACATGTATGTGTGTTTGTGTGCATGTATGTGTGTATCAGTGTGCATGTATATCGACAAATTCTGTTTGCCTATATACAAGCAGCGATAGCTCTGGGTCCTTCCGTGGCCACGTGAGGGCTCACAAGGCCTCCTAGGTCCATCAAGGATGGGGTGACCAGCAAAGCAGGGCCTCAGGGACCGGGTCCAGCCTCCTGACCAGCGCCAATTTGGGTGGGCACATGCTCATGGTTCCCCAGTAGGGCAGTGTCTGAGATCCCACCGATGATGCGTTTCTCAGGTAGTGGGACAAGGCACTAAAGGGTTCCAGGAGTGGCTGTTCCTCCCAGAGGCACATCACCTGCACCCCGCTCCACCCCAGCACCCCACCAGGTCCCCACTTCAGCAGAGAGCAGCTGACCTGCACCCAAGGGGGAACCTCTAAGTTGCCTCCCTAATTCCAGCCGGACTCGGGCAGTTCCTCCTCTGTGACCAGCTTGGTCCTGGGACGCTGCAGAACCCGCTGTGGGCCCCTTTCTACCTGCACCTCACGCCCGTCTCCCTGCCTGAGCTGCTGGAGCCTCACCGACCTCCAGGCCTCTCACTGGGGCACCCAAGGGTGAGGAATGATTTTTTTTAATTAAAAAAATGTTTTTAATAGGAAATATAACTTGCTCTAGGGTGCCTGCCTCTGACGTAGCCAGGGTCCCCCCACACTAAGCCTGAAGTTCCCCGGGTTCCCACACACTAAGCATGAGATCACATCAACCACACAGGGTCTGAGACAGTTCGGAGGGCCAAGTTCACACATTGCATGTGAGACCGAGGGATTAAGCTGTGGTACCATGTGGTCCCCTGAGCAGCACTGAGTGTCGCCCTTGAGCACTGCTGGGGTGGTTTTGCTTGCCAAATCCACCCTCCACACCGTTCCCCCCCACAAAAGAAAAACCCCAATCGGCACCACTTCCTCCACCCTTTGTTTTTTTTCCTTTGCCACATATCTGAATCTTTATTGTTCTGAAATAAATGTTATAACTCAAAAGCAAAATAAAACAAAACTTCAATATTCAGTCTCCAGAGAGGTGTGGCTCAATGCCCATCACATGTAACAAGAAAACTTCCTTTTTGAAAAAAAAACAGAAGTACTATGAGAAGTCTTTCCCATGAATGAAAATGCACCCTTTGGGGTTTTTCTTCTCATCTCTTAGCCCATATACATGTGGAAATCAAAGGTTTGCATTTTTTTTTCCTTTTTGGGTCACACCCAGCAATGCTCAGGGGTTACTTCTGGCTCTGCACTCAGGAATTACTCCTGGCAGTGCTTGGGGGACCATATGGGATGCCGGGAATCGAACCCGGGTTGGCCGCATGCAAGGCAAATGCCCTACCTGCTGTGCTATCGCTCCAGCCCCAAAGGTTTTCATTTTTGTCACACAGTTCTTGCTATGATGTTTGGCAGACTTTTTGCCACTCAACAAATTCATCGAGAAGAACAGGCCAAGCACCATCTTCATCATAGTTACTAAGATCAGCGCAGACTGTTCTGCTGAATTCTAATACATTGTACCACTAATCTTTGTTTATGACCCAATACTTTGATTGCTCCAGGTTACTGGTAGAATGCAGAAAACGGGCTATGTCCTCCCAAGCAGAAGAGCCAACATGGATTTAACAGTATCGATATCAAGGCTTCCCTGATCTTTATCCCTTGCAAAATCAAAGGCTTATCTGTAGATACTCTGACTCCATCATCGTAAATTACGTTTGTCAGGTGATGCTGGGGACCTTGTTTGTGGTGCTGGAGTCTAATCCTGGCCTCCTGCACGCAGAGTTCGCACACTTGTCCTTGGAGCCATCTCTCCAGCAGCCGGGACTTCTTTTCCAATATATAAGAAAATATAATATTATAATAATTATTTTATATAAAATTATTTACATTAAACTATTTGAATTTCATATAAGTGAAACCAAACCACATAAGGCTTGCTGGAGTTACTTTTTTTTTTTTAAAAAAAAAGCCCCCCCCCCCAAAAAAATAAAACCTACCAAAAAGCTCTGGATTGGGGATATGTCTCATGGTAAAGTGCTCGCAGTGCACATGGAGGATCTGGACTCAGGGCACCATTTTATGGACACTGTTCATCGCCCATCCAATGGTCCCACTCACATGCACAGTGCTCTGAGGGTGCTCCTGGGAGTCTGGGCACATCCCACCCCCCTGCAGCTTCCTTGCCCCTCGACCATGGCAAGCTCTGTGCATGGTCCCAGTGAAATCACCAGCCCCTGCAGGCATGCCTTAGAGCGGAGCAGGATGAGGAACTTTCTCTCTCCTTTCCTTTCTGGCCAGGCACTGAGGGACAAAGGGAAGGTGAGGGGTGGTGGAGATCCTCTTCCTCTTGCTTCTGGGCAGGATTCGCTGGC